AATAAAAAAAAAATCTATATAAAAACATTGCATACAGTAATTATTAACCCACAATTCAGCACGTGCTTTTTTTCTTGCCCTTTGGTCCTACCGCGTTACTCGTCCTCCCCAGCCACTCGAAAACTGCCACGTGGCCGATGATGCTTTTACTGTCTTCAACGCGCTCAGACCTTCAACCCAACACGAACACATGACATGACTTACTGACTCCGCTATATATATGGAGATTTCGGGAGCCGACATTTTCATCATTGTCGGAAGCTCGACCGGAGTCACAACTGAACATCATCAGTAAAGGATGGAGCCGCCAACATCCTCGTCAACGACGGAACAAGGTGTCGGGACAAATAATGAACCCAAGTACAAGGGGGTAAGAAAGCGAAAATGGGGGAAATGGGTATCGGAAATCCGACTCCCCAACAGCCGGGAGAGGATATGGTTAGGCTCATATGATTCGGCGGAGAAAGCGGCGCGTGCTTTCGACGCGGCTAATTTTTGCTTACGTGGCCGCAACGCCAAGTTCAACTTCCCACAGAATCCACCGGAGATTGCTGGGGGGCGATCCATGAGTGCGCAGGAGATCCAAGAGGCTGCGGCGAGATGCGCAAATGAGGAAGTGCCGAGGAGGAGCTCAAATCTATCGAATTCGCACAATGCAGCGGCGCCAGAACAGAACTCGTCGTCGACTCCATCGTCAGTAGTGTCTGATGGGGCAGTAGCACAAGTGGACACTGAAGTGATGGATTGGTCCTTTTTGAACATGTTGGATTGCAATGAAGGTGTGTCTAGTTATGGCCTCTACGACGGCCTTCTTGGCTACATGCCAGGCGAACTTTATGCGCCACCATCTCATCAGCCACTATTCGACGATAATTTAGATGATCAAACTGGGGAAGAGACAGCATTTTCATCACACTCATCATTTCTTTGGAACTTCTGAGAAATTTGTTAAGAGGATATTTTCACTCGGGATGATAAATTAGATGATATATCAGGAGTTCAGCGAATTTTAATGGCTGGGCAACTGATTTTTTTGTTTTACCCCGATTCACTGATGATGAAATAATTATGGAAGACTCATAAAAATAATTCGGAAAGAGATTTACATAAAATATTATTTAATTAAGTTACAATATTTAAAAACGTTATAATTTAATCCAGCACTTTGAGGTTTATTGGTTCTTTTTTGCAGGATGTGTTCAGAATTATCGAGACTTTAGTTCTAATTTCAAGTCTTCTTTTTCCTTTTCTTGAAAAAATTTATCATTGTTCAAAAAAAAATTATAATTTAATTAATTAAAAAACCCAACACTTTCCATTCTTTCAAATCAAACATATTTTTAGAGAAGGAATATTGGGGTGTAGGCAGGGGTTTTGCGTTTGTGCCATCTTTTGTGTATGGATATATGTTGGGCAAAGTTACTCTATTTTTCTTGTTTGGGGATGATTATGATATGGTTATAGGCCAGGTCCAGCAATTGATGGTGAAATATAACGGTGGTTTTTAGTTTTGTACCCTTTTAGATGATATATGCAAAAGAACATCAAGACTGTGGACAGGAGAAACATGTGCATGAATCTTTTTTTCATGTAGAGATTCATGTACCTATATGCTATAGCTATGAGAAAAGATAGTTCTCTACAATTCTCTCAGCTCCACTTTCGGTTGGGTGTTCACAATTTTCTCCATTTTTACGCTAAGATCCCTGTTGTGGGGACAGGGCAGGAGGAACATTCTTCCCATGGGCCCAAAAGCACGGTGTTTTCTTCACGTGATGTTTTATAGGTTTTTTTGTTTTTTTTTTCACTTTTTAAAGTCTCATTAGCTCTTTTTTTTCGAACAATTTGTAATTATTTACAGGATTAATTGGAAGAGACAAAAAAGGGATTCGTGAAATTTGAACATGCATCCCGCTAAAAGTAAACAGTTCTAAACAGGGTCTGATGTTGCTGGACCAGAGCAAACCGTCCAAAGTCTCATGAGTTCAGAAGAACTAACATTTAAAAGTTTAAATTTTTACACTAAAAGTTTGAAACTTGAATCTTGGAATTGGTAAAGAGGGGCTTGGGCTTTTTTAATCAAAATTAACTTCGAAAATCCATTTTAAAAAAAAATTGAACACAACCTATTGAACAGCTTTAATTTTAAATCATAAATACTTAAATTAAATACAAGTTGAAAAATACTAAATAACTAGTTGTATTTTTCTTTAGATTAATATTTTTTTAAATTTTTTTTTATTATTGCTCAACAAAAATTGAGGATTTAAAGAGATTGCTCTCACATCTATAGGGCTTTGTTGTCATCGCTACACGTAAGTAGAAATTCACGAATCAAAGATCTTGAATCCAAATCTCAATCTTAACCATAATCACAATCACAACTACAAGTTTAATCCCTTTCCCTTAGGCCAGCAGTACTTTGTACGTAATTGCTGTGACCAAAATAAAATTTTTTCTACAATCTCGAAATCCTAACTTGAATAATATGTATATAAATGATTTGACATATAGTAATCTCATTCTCTATAAATTAAAAGTAATATATCTTAAGTTTCAATGATTAAGTGAATAAAAAATGCAAAAGGGTTACATGCTATTATACGGACTAAATTTTTTTTTAATTTAATTCGAATATCTTGACTTTACTCGATCAATGTTACATACGTACATTACAAAACATACATTACTCAGAAAAGGTGAAAATTGTTAGGACTAGAATTGAACCATTTGACTGAGAGCTAACCTTGGGATATATATAAATAAATAAAACCTAGGAATAATTCGACTTGTTCAAAACTACAAGTGCATAGACGCCATACGCGCTTGGCTAGTCAAACTTGTAACGAGCATGCAAATAATTTTGAACTCGGTTTAAACATGCGAAAGATGAACAAGGGTTGGATACTGGACACTGGACTTCTGTTGTACATCAGTAATAAAAAGCCCAGGTATAAACAATTCGGGCCTTATGGAACTGTATGGATAAATTTAACGTTACTTGTGAGCCCAGACCCAGTCTTACGACCTTCTCTCACCAGTCACCACCGATCAGGAGCAGCATTCACAGGTCATAGGTATTGTCTTTTACGCATTTCTACGAACACCTGGAGATCAAAGCCGCGGTTCGTCTTCTTCGTTTATTCATTTTCAGTTTTGGCTCTTATTTTGGGAATTGTTTAAGATTCAGTAATGGAGACCCGGGTAGTCAAAACTGGAGCTTTATTGAATGAAACACAGAAACAATGTCTGCTTTGCCACCACCTGTTTGGGTTTTTGCCTCAGAGAGTGAACTGCTATCAACAATCGTTGTTTCGGTGGTTGCAAGTCAGATTAATGGCAACTAGTAAGCAAGTTCAGGACCGAAGGTGTTGTTTTTGATGACGGTTATAGGGAGGAACCAGAGATGGGGATCCGCGTTAGGTCATTGGAGGAGTACAGGGAGCAAATTAATCTCCCTAAGCCTCATATGGTCAGTGATTTCATCAGAAAATCGACGAAATTATTTGAATTGTATAAGGATCGAAGAGGGGTGTTGTTGGGTGCAATGGCCAAGGAAACTGAGGCTTTGTTAGAAGAAAAAGAGATATTGATCGAGGAACACTCAAGCAGAGCTGCAGAGTATGTGACTAGGTTGCTGATGATGTCTGTTGATTTCAGAAGAGGTCTTAGTTGTCTCCGCATGTTGATGCCAGGGAACTTAAAGCCGGGTCATTAGAATTTGACAAGAGGCAGTTGCTGTAATGTACGAGCTGCTTAACTTTAACATTGAGAAGAGATTGGTTACAGGTGAATGATCACCTCAATCACTTTTGACGGGAACTAATGATGCCACAGAAGCTGATGAGACTTAATTCTAAAGCATTTTGGCATCTTTCATGTTTCTGAAAGAGAATTAGTGTCTTCTTGACTGAAGCATATGAGTGTCCAGAGCTGATAGAGAAGTGGCTTTTGGTTCTTTGAAAGGAAAGTGTTCTGTGCCTTATTGGCTACAGAGGGAAAAAGAAGCCACTTCCAACTTCAGGTGACATACTCGACATGGAGGATAAGAGTTTATTTCAAAGTGAATCTGAGAATGAAAATGTGTCTGCTGAATTTGAGGAAAAGGAGACCGTGTGTTGTCTAGAGGATGCCTCAAGTGCAACGAACAATGAAATGCAGATTTGCATACAAGGAAACTGGTACGTGTTGATGTTGATCTTTTTTATCTTACTCTTGTAATTAGTTCTTATACTTATAATGCAGTTTTAAAAAGATTTTATATTTTTCTGATGAAGTTCATAAGGCCTCACTCTGTTTTTCATTTTTTCTTCTTTTTTTTTTTTTTTAAAAAAAAATATTAAAAGGATCTATGCTGCTTATTGTGGTAGATACCGAACAGCTTTACACACTCTGCACTCCGGTTCCTTTTCTTTATGTGCCCTTAGCTCTTGGACCATATATCTGAAAAACCTCTAGTATGACATTGTCAACATTGGAATAGGAAATTGTTGTTTCTTGAAAATGAAGTTTTGAATTTGAACTATCATGATCAAGGATTAAATGCTTAAAATAGATAATAATGGGTTATTATACTTACTAGTTAAAGGACACTGGTTTTTCATTGGTCGGTCTTACATATCATTGCACTGATCATTAAATTTGAAAGCCACTGCTATCTAATTCCTAATTTCATGAATGATCTGATTAATGACCTGTCGACTTCCTTTTTTCCCAAGTTGATAGGTTATTAGCATCTGTCCAATCAGGTTGTACCGTCTATAATCTTGACTTAAGTAATGGTTAAGGAGTTTAACAAGAAATGAACTGTGATCTTGTTTTAGTTATACTGATAGTTTGTAGAATATTTAATCTTAATCCTCAAGGACCTCTCAACCAACTTCTTTAATACGCACTATGTCTAATGTCTAACTGCACCATTAATGGTTTTCATCTTTCTCTAGCCAAGAGAGAGGACCACAGGCCTGTTTTCAACAAGTTGAATTGAATACAGAAAGTCTTGTTTACGTTATTAAAATGAATAAATTCAAAAATTGCAAAAATAAAACTTATTTGCTAGCTGTATACAATTGGGAAAAAAAGAAAGTTAATGAAAAATGAATAAGGTTTAGTAGATACAAATGCATGTTCAATAAAAATTGGGGTTTTTCTAACTATACCCTTAGGGTACAAATTAAGGGCACTATTTTGTCAAAAATAGATATAGAAAACAAAAAAGTGAAAATCAGGAAAATATAAGGCGTCCAATCATGACCATTTATTAAGTTGGTCCCTGATTGTGCCCCATTTAATAAATGGTCTTGATTGGATGTCCTGGCAATAAAATTATCAGGACGTCTTGATTTTCTGCATGGCCTAAAGAAAATGTAAAAGTTGACATTAATTTTAGTGTTGGTGCTAAATAGATAATTTTAATGGGATAATTGATAAATTAAAGGTCAATTTTTGTTTTTTAAATATAAATTTATATGACAAAAAGATATATTAATTTGTTATACCCTTAACCTAGCACATGTTAGAAAAACCCTAAAAAATGCAGAAATATAGTTGACATGAATCAATAGGGATGAAGGCTAATCCAAGCTGGGAGTTTTGGTTTTCATAGTTGATAGCCAAATTGATCTGTGAAAGACAGTTTTAGTTGCCGGGCCCAAATGGATGGGTTTTGACATTGCTATAAATGCGGCATGTTCAATAGCTTGGCTTGTCTAACTTGCTGTGACCGGCAGCTAGCTCTCTTCTATAATTGCTAGCTTATTCTAGGGTTAGATCTTGTTTCTGGATTGAAAATATCTCAATTCATTTTGGTTGATAACTGGAGAAATTGGGCACTGATGGCCGATAGTGTGTGTGATCTGAGCCTGTTTGGTCTTTAGATGGAACTTTAATTTGTTGAAGCGTTCTCTGAATAGAGTTGTTACTGGATTTACAGCTCCAACTTATACAGGCTTAAACGTGATTGATTTACACCAAACTATCATTTTTGGGGAATAATCAAGATAATTGATTATGTTTAGCTGGTTTCCAAAAATGCCAAATGGATGATTAATTGATCTTGTAGTGATAGTGAAGGTAGTGTCAACATTCCCCACATGGTTTTTTTTTTTTTTTGTGGCTCAGAGAAGGATGACATCCCTGTGACTGCAAATGGTTTGGTGTTAAAACTCTGTTTCCTAAACTGCATTTCTAGGCTGTAGTAGTCCCATGAGGCCGTAACTAATTAACAGTCACTGGTGGCTTCCATCTCTGTTCTTATTCACAACTACTTTATGCACACTTATTCTAAAGAAGGAAGATGCAAACGTGTACTACTACTGCATCGGCAATAATATATGGATACATTGCTGTATCTTCTCATGAAAGAAAAAAGCTTCAATTAAAGCTGAGTCTAATATTACATTACATAAATGTTTTTTTTTTTTTAATTCAGTCCAAAAGGGTATTTTAATACTTTCACAGCCCAAATTGCTCTAGTTTTTTATTCAGTCTAGACTAAAAAACATCATCCTTACGTATTATCCTCCATGCTTTGAAAAGAAAGTTTGTAGACTGAAAAAGACCATTATACCCTTGATGAATCATTAATGGCCCTTTCTTACCTAGTTGATTAATTAAAAGATGTACTTTATCTTTTACTTGGCTCAGACTAAAAACACACATTGCTCCTAAATAAATTAATAATACATTAAGTTTGTTTGAGCTTCTGGATATGCTTCTTTATGTTTACTTGCGATGTTGTTTATTTCAATTAGGGCAGGTAACTTAACTATGTATAGGCATGTATACTGCCAGCTGGTGGCTACAAGGATTCATAGCCAATTGATTATCAACTACTTCTCCTGCATATTTTTAAAGGTTTGTTTAATCACTATCTTGAGGTACATACTAAAATTTATTAATTAAGATATTTTTAATTAATTTTATATAAATTTTTATATTAAATTTATATTTTTTAAAGAAATTTTGAATATAAATATTATATTATATTATATTTTTATTTTTATATATTATATTATATTATATTTAAATCTTATATAAAATTTTATAAAAATTTAATTACAACTGATACAATTAATGAGGATAAGGGCAGAGGTTGAAAATCCCTCTGTTTAGTTTCTTTCTTTCTTTTTTTTTTTTTTTTCCAACTGTTTACCACCTTGACATAGACAAAACCCAATAAGAAGGAACTGCTCATTTTCTGATGAAATAAGTCAGTATGCTGTCCAGGACCTGACCAGATAAACCCTTAATTTGGGTTTTTTATATGATATTCTACTATATATTATGAGAATTAATCAAATTTAACTGATGTCCATAGAATTAAATAACAAGTTATCACATTACGTTATAGAGTATACTGAACCCTAACCTCATTCTTGGAAAACTCTATCTTTAACCAGATTGAAGAGATTGAGAGTAACCTTTAATTGTTCACAAGAAACGCAACCCTTAACAGTGAAGCATTTCAACTTAATTTATTTAGTACTCATCTTTTTTTGCCAGATTGATTTTCCACCACCCTACATTTAATGAAAGAATTAAAGTCAGTTGAAAACCTTTCAACTGCACACCCCCTCAAGTTGTTGCCCACATTAACTATACTCACCCACCACCTTTCTTCTTTCTTCACCTTCATTTATCTTATATAAACCCTTCTCTTCCCGTCAATAGCCACATTATCAAAGACTTTTAATCCATCTTAGGCATAATTAGTCCTAAACATGGCTAGAGGTGAACAAGATCTCCTCTCTACTGAGATTGTCAACCGTGGGATCGAGTCCACCGGTCCCAACGCGGGTTCTCTGACGTTCTCCGTCAGGGTCCGGAGACGGTTGCCGGATTTTCTCCAGTCAGTGAACCTTAAGTATGTTAAGTTGGGGTACCATTATTTGATCAATCATGGGATTTACTTGGCCACGATCCCAATTCTCGTGGTTGTCTTCAGTGCGGAGGTGGGAAGTCTTAGTAGGGAAGAGCTCTGGAGGAAAGTCTGGGAAGACGCCCGGTATGACCTCGCCACCGTCCTCTCCTTCTTTGCCGTCTTCATCTTCACCATCTCTGTCTACTTCATGTCCCGCCCTCGTTCCGTTTATCTCATCGATTTTGCTTGTTATAAGCCTCAGGATGATATCAAGGTTAAGTTTTCGATTTTTATTTTTATTTTAGATAACATGGGTATTCAGGCATCTGGGAAATCTCAAAGCATACATTTTGTTTCAGGTGACGAAGGAACAGTTCATTGAGATGGCGAGAAGATCTGGAAAGTTCGACGAAGGGAGCCTGGAATTCCAGAGGAAGATTCTGGAAGCATCAGGCATTGGTGACGAAACCTACGTACCGAAAGCGATCATGTCCAACGAGAACTGCGCCACCATGAAAGAAGGCAGGTTGGAAGCGTCTACGGTGATGTTCGGCGCACTGGACGAGCTCTTCGAGAAGACCCGGGTCCGACCAAAGGACGTCGGCGTCCTGGTGGTGAACTGCAGCATCTTCAACCCGACGCCGTCGCTGTCGGCGATGATAATAAACCACTACAAGATGAGAGGGAACATCTTGAGCTTCAATCTGGGTGGGATGGGTTGCAGTGCGGGGATTATAGCAGTAGACCTGGCCCGGGACATGTTGCAGGCCAACCCAAACAACTATGCTCTTGTGGTCAGCACTGAGATGGTGGGCTATAACTGGTACCCGGGTCGGGACCGGTCCATGCTTGTGCCCAATTGCTATTTCAGGATGGGCTGCTCCGCCGTCCTTTTGTCCAACAGGCGCCGTGACTACCGACGCGCCAAGTACCGCCTTGAGCACCTCGTCCGGACACATAAGGCTGCCGACGATCGAAGCTTCAGGTTCTTCCTTCATCTTTTCTCTTTTCTTTTCCATTTTTCGTTTTTATTTTTTATTTTTTATTTTTTTATAATTTCTTAATTGAGTTAAAAAATAAGAATGAAAATTATATCAATGCTGACCCAAGATCTATCCGTAAGCAAGTTAATGTATGACAGCTCCAGGTTGAAGTCTTTCTTCTAACCAAAATAAGTTTCTTTAAATAAATAGAGTGATGTGAAAATGTACTTTAAAAATTATTTATAACTAAAATAATTTGAAAACACTTGAAAGCTGAGTTGGGATATCTTGAACATTAATATCAAGAAATATTTATCAAGGACATATGATCATAAATATAAAAAAAATTTATATAAATATTTAATAGAGTTGGAGGTATACAACTTAAATAATGTAGACCACTTAAATTTGGAGATTCGTTTTGTTTGGTTAAAATTTCAATTTACTACCTCAATTTTTAAATTTATATTAAAATTATCTCTTAATTTTAAAAAATATTAAAATTATCTCTAAATTTTAAATTTTAATATAAAGAAAATCTTTTTACTAATAAAAATGTTACATAACTCATTATTTTATTATAAAATTAGTTTTTTTTTAATTAATAATGTGTAAAATTAAATAGTTATATTTTGTCATTGTGGTATATTTATATTTATATTTTAGATTGATATATAATTAAAGTTAAAAATTCAAATTAGTATTTATAATTAAAATTTAAGAATTAAGTTGATATTTGTCTTTAAAGTTTAAGAATTAAATTGATATTATCTTTAAAGTTTAAGAATTAAATTGATATTTTCTTTAAAGTATGAGGATTATTTTGATAAAAAAAAATAAAATGTAAAGATAATTTTAATTTTTTTAAAAGTTAAGGGATAATTTTAATATAAGTTTGAAAGTTGAGGGACTAAATTAACATTTTAATTTTTTTGTTTTTTCTCCGTTTTGCACTGTAACTTATAGTAGATTATAAAACAACAAATTCTAAAAAAATCCCTTTACTTTTTATCGGTTCAATTAAGCCCTCTAAATTTTAAATAAAGATCATACTAGTCGAGATGTTTTAGTCATAATTCAATTAAACCCCAATAAATATTACAGGTGCATTTACCAAGAAGAAGATGAGCAAGGCTTCAAAGGACTAAAGGTAAGCAAAGACCTAATGGAAATCGGCGGCGAAGCCCTGAAAACCAACATCACCACCCTGGGCCCTCTAGTTCTTCCCTTCTCGGAGCAGCTCTTCTTCTTCACTACTCTTCTCTGGCGGCACTTGTTCGGTGGAGACGAAAAATCCAAGGCGTCCTTATCCCACTCGGCGACCAAGCCCTACATTCCCGATTACAAACTCGCGTTCGAACACTTCTGCGTTCACCCCGCCAGCAAGGCGGTGCTGGACGAGTTGCAGAAGAACCTGGAGCTGAGCGACGGAAACATGGAGGCGTCGAGGATGACGCTCCACCGCTTCGGGTACACTTCGAGCAGCAGCATTTGGTACGAACTGGCGTATATGGAGGCGAAGGAGAGGGTTAGGCGTGGCGATCGGGTCTGGCAGATCGCATTCGGATCCGGGTTCAAGTGCAACAGCGTAGTTTGGAGGGCAATGGGCCGGGTCAGAAAGCCTACCCGGAATAATCCCTGGCTGGACTGCATTGATAGATATCCAGTGGCTCTTTAAACGCCGTATTAAATTAGTTTAATTACTGCTTGTGGTGAGTAATTATAGATGGTTTAAAAAAAAAAAAAAACACTTTTTGGTTTTTATTTTATGAGAAAATTGTACTGTATGGGAATGGTGTTGAATTAAAGTAATTGTTATGTTTTCCTGATATGAAATGGGATATATGGAAAAAGTTAGTAGAAGTTTTTTTTTTTTTTTTAATGATTTAAAATTTTTTTTGAGTATTATTTTGTCATATAATTTTATATGTTATTAATTATTAATTTTTTTATTATATTAAAATTTGTGATATTATATATATTTATTTAATTTATAATATTTAAAATAAAATGTTTAAATTAAAAAAAAGAAATTTTTTTATTTAATGAAGCAGAAAGAGTGCTCCTGCCAATATACAACATTAGGAACCCACATATGA